TGTGCTTTAACTGTTCTTAAAAATTCTTTATTCCTATTTGCAAATATTTTAAGATTCTTTTCTGCCAGGGCGTTTTTATGATATCTCAAGGGAAAAATCATTTTAAGATAAATTCTATTAGTAATCAAGCAAGATTTTCTTCAATTCTGCAATAGGTGTGTGCATTTAGGCTATTTTCCTAAATTTAGATTTTATATATTTGTTTTACTATTAATCTAGGTACTCGATTTTCCATATTTTTTATATTGAGTCTAAAATTATTTTTAATGACTAGAGTTCTTACTTTAATTAGTTCCAGTATTTGGACTTTGAGTACTTGAATTTGTCGTTTATTTCATTTAAGCCTCAATGCATAATTTATTTCTCAATTTTTAAATAAAATAGTCATAGTTAGGTTACTCAGAAAAATTTATTCTACAAGCTTAAACTAATAAATCGGATATCAAGCCTAAAATTTTAATTCTAATATAAATATACAACTATGGCTGTTTAGTTTTGAATATCTTTTATGATCTTCTTTAAGTTTAATGATCTAATCATATTTCTCCTATGTTAACGGCTGAGTAACACAGCTAATCCAAGGTAGTTAACCTACCTTCAAGAATAGCAATAGATAAAATATCGAAATTAAATCATCTCTTCTAGACGGACCTTTAATAATATAATAAAGCAATTATTACATTCAAGTTTCATCCTATGTGTGCTACTGTAGTAAAGATTTCCACTAAAAAGAGTTTATGTCTTATTTTAAAAATGTTTGCCATCCTAATTCTAAAATCTCTATGATATGCCGAAATCAATCAATTTTACTGAAGAATAATCTTAATTTAATGAGTCATTATTTTCGAATAGAATATTTTCAGGCTTTATATCATTGTGCACATAGCCAACTCTGTGCAAATATCTGACTTGTTCCAACTATTTAAATTGAACAAATAGATAATAGTCATACCAATGATATTCCAAGCAAGATAATTTGCTCAAGTTAGAGACACTATTTTAAGCTTTTTATTTCCTAATTCAAGGATTAGCCCATCATTTTGAGAGCAATGTAGTATGGAAAGGTATTAGCTGTAGCAGAATGTATGTACATTTATGAGTACGACTCAACATTTTATATAATCAATTTTCCATATATGTTTTTTTCTCTATGATATTCAGATTCATCTTTGAACTTTAGGATTTTTTTTATTTGCAAAAATAGCTTACAATTTTAAGAGCGCAAGGTGAGTTACTGGACAAATCCTTTGCCAAATACACTTTACCAGATGCACCACTTCCGATTTTCTTCTGCAATTAAAATCTATGATCAACAATCATTTGAGTTTAGAATAGGTCGACTAATTATAATTATAAAACTTTTTTTAATTATTTCAAATAGGATTTGCTTCAGAGTTGAAATTATAATTAAAAAATATAAAAAGCTATTAATTTTTTATTTTACTTTATTGTTTCTTTTTGTATATTATCTCTGAATTTTTAAAGATGGGGTTTTGGGGTTTTGGGG